GGCACTTAACAACAACAACAAAAGTGTCGTTGAGTGGGTTCCGACTCATAGTGACCCTGTGTGGGGTTTTCAAGGAGCAGCTGGTGGGTTTGAACTGCCGACTGTGCAGTCCATAGTGCCCTTGCAGTTCAGTGTTTATCCTGCAGTGCCACCACCCTAGGGCCCCTTCTCTGTTGTCACCCACAGGGAACTACAGATCAGTTTATCAGCTTGCTGAATGGCTTCGTTGATTTTCAGAGGAATCAATGAAGCTTCCAGATAACTTATATTCTTAAGGCACAGATTTTACATTCTAGAAGTGGACTTATGTGTAGAAACTGGCCTTTCAGCTTGTCCAAACTGCCATGGAAGGAGTTCTACTGAGACTGCTGCATGGGCCACAGTGAGGCAGCACAGTGCTGGGGGGCCCAGGAGCCTGGGTCCTGGGGGTAATAAATGCTGCCTGTGAGCAGGGTGTTGGGCACTGTCTGTGTGTGTATGTGCCCAGCTGCAGCTGGACTGGGTGCCGTGGGCCACATGAAGTGCAGGCCGTCCCCTCAGGAGTCTCCCTGGTGGTCAGTATGGTTCTGCTGTGTGTTCCCGCCCCTCGTGATCTAGAAGGTTCCAGTGGTGACTCTCCACTCTATACCTGGTCTTGCTGAGCAGGACAGACTGGTGTGTCTGCGTCATTTCAGAATCACCTGTGCTCGGGGACGCCTTCGGGCAGCCTGTCGTGTGTTAGAGTAAATCTGTGGCTGCTGCGATCCCCATCTCCCTGCCCTTCATCTGAGAGTCCTGTGTTCCATGATGAAGCCAGTGCTGACTTTGAGCCCTCTCCCTCCCTGGGGGTGGAGACGGGCTCAGCCAGGAACATCCTGGTCTTTGGGGAGCACTGTGCTGACCCCTACGTGGCTCCCAAAGCAGAAGGAAGCCGATGGCTCTTTTCCCGTCCCGCTGTGCGCTCGGTCTCCCTACCCTAGTGCTGACCTTGGGGCCTGAGGTTGAAAGGGCTGAGGACGCATGGTGGGGTCCTGTGTGGGTCAGACCCCAGCCTTCGCCGCTTCTGGGCAATTCGGGGACCTTGTTGTACACGTTAGGTTGACCCTGCCCCTTGAGGACCTGCACCTCTCAGCTGCCTCCAAGTACCCCTTCTTTGGGTAGGGGCTGGGTGACCCCTGTTGTGGGCCCATGGGCGCCTTGTGTCCTCATTGCCTTCCCACGGCCCCCCAGTGGTTGGACTGACATTCACACTGTCTCTCCTAGTGTGCGAGGTGCATGCAGTGTGACACCAAGTTCGACTTCATCACCAGAAAGGTGAGCCCCCCACACAGTGGGCAGGGTGGGGAGGGCCCCCGTGTGGTGTTTCCTTTCGGGGGAGTGTTAGGTGGTGTCAGACTGGCTTTACACTTTAAACAGTACCCTGGGGAGGATATGTGTGCATGTGGCTGTGTGACCACCGGCCAGGTGTGTGGGCAGGTGACCAGGAGGGGTTGTGGCTGATAGTGCGTGTCCCCCAGCACCACTGCCGTCGGTGCGGGAAGTGCTTCTGTGACAGGTGCTGTCGCCGGAAGGTGGCGCTGCCCCGCATGTGCTTCGTGGACCCCGTGCGGCAGTGTGCCGAGTGCGCCCTGGTGTCTCAGAGGGAGGCCGAATTCTATGATAAGCAGCTCAAGGTGCTGGTTGGCGGTAAGCTGGGTGGGCTGCCCTGGATGCACCCCCACCTCGTGCTCCACTGGTTACTGAGACTCCAGAGAGTCCGCTGTCCAGTGAGCAGAGATGCAGCTTTGGCCTGGCTTTTGCGATGGCGCTGTGCTCTGGTCCCCTCTGCCTAGTCTTGTCCACCTGGTGGAGGGGTCATCTGCCCCTCGACATGCCAGTGGGATTTGCGTACCTCTGACTAGTCCCCCTTTGCCCTGTCTTTGAAGAACGTAGAGTCCAGGGAGCATCTGAAAGCCAGAGCAGGCCTGGGCACTGGGCCCTGTCAGGCTCCACTGGGAAGCTTGGCCCAGGTGGGAGAGCACTGTGCCCAGGGTGAGTCTCAGAGTGCCAAAGTATTCACTCTTGTTTTGTGTCCTAAGGTGCTACCTTCTTTGTGACTTTCGGAAATTCAGAGACGTCTGAAATGATGGTCTGCCGTCTTTCCAGCAATCAGAGGTGAGAGCCCAGCCGTCTGGCTCCGAAGTGTTATCACCAGCAGTAGGCCTCCCTAGCTCAGGCTCACCAGCTGACAGTTTGGTTTCACATAGGTTCTTGGTTCTGGATGGAGACCGCCACTACGAGATTGAAATCACGCGTGTTTCCGCTGTGCAGATCCTGACCGAAGGGCTCCCTCCTGGAGGTAACAGGGCTGCAGAGGGGTGGCGTGGGGTCCAGGTGTCGATGCTGAGTGTCTGTAGATGCTCCTGATACGGTTCATTCACTACTGGCTGTAACCAAGGTGAAGCTCTGAATACCAGTGTGATATATGACCCAGATTCCAAACAGTTGCCCATTAGCAACCAGTGTTTCTTGCCATGTCTCCCCTCCAAGTCTGAGCCTTGTTCCCCTTTGTTTCCTTGGCAAGCTTCTTATACATCCCAGCCTCTCTGGGCCCATGCAGCCTCCGCCCCTCAGGGGTACCACTCTGTCTGCTTTCTGTTTCTGGCCTCTTTGACTGTTCGTTCTTTCTCCCCACTGCGGCCCACCACCTTGATGTAGAAAACGACATGTACACATACACCAGCCTCCTGGAGAGCCAGCTCGTCTCTGCAGGTCAGCGCCCTCCCTGGCTCTCCCAGCATGCTGTAGACTTCTCTCCCTGGGCCATCTATGCAGGGTCCAACACAGTCACTTGGGTAGGGATGCGAGCCCTGGCTCTGGTGGCCCAGGTACAATGGGAGGGACCAGATGTGGTGGAACGTTTGAGTGAAGGCGTGTGTCGTCTGCTCAGCTCTGCGGTCTCAGGGGTAGCACTGTCCGGTGGTCACACTGTGTGTTGGGTCCTGAGCTGGGCAGAGTGGCAGTGTTACAGCATCTCCCCACCCGGGTGCTGGGAGGCCGAAGCCTGTGCGTCCACCTGTCCCATGGGCTAGTCCCTGAGCACAATGGTGTCACAGGTGGCATTAGGCAGCTTACCTTCAGCAGGTGTCAGTGAGCCTATAGCTGAGCAAGAGCAGGGTCAGGAGGGGCTGGGGTCGGGTCAGCTCCACGGGCGGTGGGGCTCAGAGGAGCTGGGATCCACCTGTGTCCCCCTTGCCTGCTACATCCTCTGAGTGGAAGTCTGGCCTGAGCAGTGGCCTCAGCTCTGGTGGGGGGCTTCTGGCACCCAAGGCCTCCTTGTGGTGGTTTTGGGGTACAGCGTGCCCTGCTCTGCCCTGGTGTTTGTAACCACTTGAGTCTCACTTGAGCTGAAGGTAGCAGACACCCCATGGCCCTGTAGACCAGGGTCAGCTCGCCTTGTGTCTGGGCCTGATAGTAGGGGCTGTAACGTCCTGCAGCCGCTTAAAAGCAGCTGTGGACAATGAAGCCTGTTCCCTAAAACTGCATTTACAAACCCACGTGGTTTGTCAGCCAGGAAGCTGGGGACAGATGGATGGAGAGGAAGAGGTGGCTCTGGGCTCTGAGACAACAGGAGCTTGGCTCGGGGCCTTCGGGACACGAGTTCCCTCCACAACAGCCCAGCCTCGGTTGCCGGGCTGGCAGGAGGAGTCTTCCGAGAGGCGGGTTTTCTTGCTGAATGGAGTTCTGGGGTTGGGTACAGGCTGGCAGGAGGCATTGCTCCAAGTGGGCTGTTCGGGCAGGTGGCATGTCTCACAGTGATGTTGGTGAGCAGGATGTGGAGTTCCTTGGGCATGGACCCTGTCTGCGGTCTCTTCCATTTGGATGGCCAAGGGACCAAACCTGGGGTCTATTGTCCACCTGCCGAGTGTGGGGGTCTTGTCTTGAGGTATAGCAGGTCAGTTGTGGTGGGAGGCCTCTCGATTGGCACCATTTGAACCTGTCAGCCCGCTGGGTGCCTCCTGACAGACCTGGGTGCCTTCCTGTGTTCCCCTCCTAGGAGGCAGCGCAAGGGTCTCGGGCATGCTCCTGCAGTACACTGTCCCCGGGTCAGAGGACGGGACCCAGATGAAACTGATGGCTGGGGAGGACGCCAACGCCAGCAAGAGGCCTGCAACTATGTGGCTGACGGCCATGCACAAGGTAGGGAGGGGCAGGCCTGGGGACAAGGGTCTGCTACCTCATGGGGAGAGGCTAGCCTGCCGCCTACATGTCTGTCTGGTTATCTCGCAGGCTGCCAAGCTTCTGTATGAATCCCGGGACCAGTGAGGGCCCTGCCCGTGTGCAGCTCATGTGGTGCAGTCGAGGATTTGGAGACGTGCCCACTCACTTAGTGCAATATGTCCACAGTGATTACTACTACTTCACAGCTCTGTTAGTGTGTGAGCTCTTACTGCTGCTTTTCCTGGGCGGGAGGCAGAGCTGCACGACCACCACACTACTTTAGCATCCTCTGTCCTGCATTAGGGCTGAGCACTTGGGCTTCCTAGAAGGGTCTGCCCTTCCGTGTTCACGTTTCTGCTGGGCCCTGCGGTCTGCTCTGTCACAATCTGCCTTAGCCTGTTTTTTGGGACCGTCATCGACTCTTGTCTCCTTTTGGGCTGTGAACAAACTTTTGATACTTTGCTAAGGGAAAAGCGCCAGCTTCATGTTTTGTATTTCGTATTCTTTCACTTTATTGAAATGACTGTACAGCGATTTGTATATAAAGCTTATAATGAAAACCTATTTTGAAAATACACATGGAGCCCTTGTCCCATTGTCCCTGCTCAGAAGAAAGACGGTGGCGGTGATGGTGTGGGAGCGGTTTATTGTGCGCTGACAGTGGTCAGTGGGGCCCTTCTCACTGTCACTACAGCGTCAGCGACTATTCATGTATTTACACATAAATTACATACAAGACTCACATGGAAACAGTGTGAGGGCCTGCTGTCAACAAGGGACCCCCCGTGTCCGGAACGTATGCTTGGTGCGAACGCGTGTTGTATGGATCGGAGTCAGCGACGTGCCTTTAAGTCTAGGTGAGGAGCGCCGCTGCGTCCTACCCAACTCACCCTTGGTGTGTTCCTTCAGAGCAGAGGGCGCCAGGAAAGTGGTGGCTGGGGTTCTGGTTCTAGAGATGACATTAAACCTCTCCTCCCACCTCACGTGGAGTCCTGATAAAGCAATAGGACTGCCACTAGGTTGCTGGTTCAGACCTAGCAGCCCTATCGGGGTCACCTCACACCAGCACTGGGCCCGCCGCCCGCTTCAGTGATTGAGGAAAGGGAAGGGTGTGTGCTGAGGGGAAGAGCAGGAGAGCCATCTAGGACAAGACAAGGCCAGTGGGTGCCTGCCGTGGGAAGTACAGGGCTTCCTTCTTAACTGGTGATGGGTGGCTTCTGAAGCTGGGCATTTATTTGAATTTACAGAAATTGGAAAAACTGTCTGGAGGCGTGAGGACTGGCGAGAGGGCCCTCTTGTAACTGCGGTGGCGCTGTAGGTGCCGTCAACTGTGTGAGTGCCGTGAGGGCGTTCATGTCTGGGGAGAGCATGGCTCATCAGCCCCGAATGCACAGGGCTGGACCGCAGTTCAGGCGAGGGTCCGCTGCCGTGGTTTGATCCGTGGATATAACTGGGAAACAACAGAATTGTTAGTGCCTGGAGAGGGTGCTGAGGTGCTGCCAAACCCCACACTAGGTCCCACATGGGACCCTCACTGTCTCCTGGCACTCCACCCCTAGGGTCTTGTGAAAAGCTTGTCCCTTGCCCCCTGGGGGACAGCAGCGGGGCTGCAGATCCAGCCGCCCCCTCGTTCCTTTACTAGAAGGTGCTGAGGACGTAGCAGCTCCCCTCCACCACCCCGTCTTCCTGAGAGATCGCTGGGCATCATGGATGGAGTGAAGGGTCGCTGTGGCTCCCGTGAAGATGTCCCTCGACCCCCCACACTGCCCAAGTTCCCACTGGGTGTGTTCTGTGACTGATGGCCGGCTGCTGGGATCACTCACCCCGAGGAGGTTCTTGGGCACGTAGCCCTCCCGGTCCCCGAGGCAGGCCCACCACCACTCGGTCTCATTCTCATCCTTGCGCCTCAGGATGGTGATGGCGTCCCCTTCGTGGAAGGACAGCTCGTCGCTGTTCTGGGCCTCGTAGTCCCATAGCGCATAGGCCACGCCTTTGTTCATCACTCCCAGCTTCTCCTGCACCCCTGGGGGAAGAGCAGGAGTCAGCCCCCAGGAGAAATGGGGTTGTCCGCGAGGCTGCTGGGCTCTCCCAGGGTGCCCTGTGCTGGTTGTGTCATTCGACACGCCTTTAAAGGAAACGTGCAAATCACACCTGGACAGTCTTGTGGGAGTAACGAAAGGAACTGGGGGTGCTCGGACAGCAGCGCTCACAGACGGCTGTGATGGCTCCAGCCGAGCCACATTGACCAAGACCACACAAGGGCCTTCCCTCTGGACACCAGGCTCCCATGCATTCCCTGCATGGACTGGACTAGCCAGTGTCCCATGTACCACCCCCCACCCCCACCCCACACAGGACTAGCGGGCATCCCATGTACCCCAGCTCATGGCACCCCCGAGAGCTACAGGCCTCTGTTCTGTAAACTGGGCAGGTGGGGAGCATGGGTGTGCCCCGTTGGCTCTGTTTTTCATTTTCAGGGTCTGAGGTCACTCACTCCAGCAGTGAGTCCTCGGCCCAAGGAAGCCAGCCCCTCCAGCTGCTGGGATGGTTGTCTTTGGTCAGTCTCACTGGCCTTCACAAGACAGGAGGCCTGCCCTGGGCCTGGACACAACTCGAGACTTGCTTGGTGTCCAGCCTCAGGGAGGCTCAGGGCCCTGAGACACCCCCCCCCGCCCCCACACGTACCATAGAGGAACTGGGAGCACTGGATGTAACCCTCCTCCATCTCTTCACATTTGTCCGCGGCCGTCTCAATGTCGCTGATGGTGGAGGCAAAGATGGCGGCCCCGCTCTCGACCAGCTGTTTGCAGAGGTGAACGCTGTTGCAGGATGCGGCGCAGTGTAGTGGGGTCCTGGGTCACACAGGTCAACAGGTCAAGCCAGCCTGGGGGAGCACGCTCGGGAAGTCCCTCAGCTGCCTGTCAGGGTTGGTTTCCACCCTGCCCCATGGGCTCCACACTGGCTGAGCCCCAACAACTCCTGTCTCCTCTACACGTCCCAATTTCTAGATCATGCCGGCTTCCCTCTGACAATGTACTGCCCCCCGCCCCAGACCCTCCCCCTGGTGCCTCACCATCCGTCACTGTCAGCTGCGTTCACATTGACCCCAAAGTCCAGCAGGAACTTTACGATGTGGTGGTGGCCGGCACAGACTGCGTTGTGCAGCGGGGTGATCCCTTCGTCGTTGGGCTTGCTGGGGTCTTCCACCTGGGACACGGGGTCCTTGTGAGTCCCCCATCTTACCCGACAGTACCCTGCGGGGGTGGATTGCGGCTCACCTCGTAGATGACCCTCTGCACCAGGTCAAATTCCCCTTCCAGAGACGCGTCCAGGAGCAGCGCCAGCGGGTTGAACCTGACTCGCAGGCTGTGCCCGGTCCGCGCCGAGTTGGGCTTCTTCAGGTTGGTGCGTTTGCCCTGCCGGGAAGCAGCATGCTTATGAGGCAAAGTACCAAAGTCACGAGTGCCATCTGTTCCCGGGGACTGAGGGGGCTGCTGGGGGGTCACACTAGAATCCGGCGGCCAGCTGAGGACACCCAGCTCACCCTCCCTTCCGTCCACACTGACCTGCCCCCAGCCCCTCCCCTTCAGCTGCTCCTGCTGAGGACCCCTCAAGGCTGCCCACTTCCTGACAGGCACGGGGAAGGGAGGAGTGCCTAGGGCTGGGGGCACTCACTGTTGAGGCTGCAAGTGGGGGCACAGTAGAGGGCAGCAGTGACGGGGGGGCGGGTTCCTCCCCTGGAGAGGGGTCCTGGACCACGGGGCTCGGAAGCTGCTCTGTGGGGGGGACGGTGGCCACGTTGTTGTTGTCATCCTCTGCAGGCTCTGAGGGGTGTGGTGTGGTTGGGGGGCAGATGAGAGGCTCGGGGGAGGGCAGCTCGTTGTCATTGGCATCTGACGATGGAGCCGGCTCGGGGGGCAGTGGGGCCGTGGGCCTGACGGGCTCCTCCAGGTTCCCGTTGGTGTTGGCGTTGCCATTGTCCACATCGGCTAAGGTGCCCATGAAGTCCTGTGGGGTGCTGGGTTGGTAGAAGGGCGTGTCTTCCATGCTGCCCGCCAGCGTGTTGAAGCGCTGGTATAGCAGCTTCTGAATGTTGGGACCGCCGGGACCCTCGGGCTCTGTGATGGAACTGCGCTTCTTCAGGGGTCGTGGTGCGTTGGCCAGCTTCCTGCGTAGCGCCTCTAGGTCAGCATCACTCTGGTAGCGCAGCGGCGAGTGCACGATGGGTGTGAGCTTGGTCGGACTGAGTGGTCTCGGGAGGTTCTCCACGCTGCTGTCCCCGGGTGGCGCAGGGCTGTCCTGCTCCAGCTCCCTCTCGGAGCACTCGGCAGATGGCAGGGGTGCGGTGCCACTCGACGGAGGCCCGTGGAGGAAAGGGAGCGGGGATGGCGATGTGGAGCCGGAGGGCAGGACGGGCTTGCCGTACACTGGGGTGCACAAAATGCGGGAGGAGGGAGAGGTTTAGGAGGTGTGTTTCTGCTCAGGATAGCGGAATTCAGACTAGGTGAGCCGGGCCGAAACCCCCACTGAGGCCTTGAGAAAGGGGCGTGCCTCCTCCCACTTGGTGGTTTACACTTGGGCTTCCAGAATGGCTGCTGTTCGGGATTAAGTAAAGGTCGCCAACCTGACCCTGCTCTCAACCAGCTCGCCTCGTTTTTCTGACCAATGAAAGCACAGCACTACACTTGCAGCTTGAGCTGGGGCCCACGTGGACACTGGGTCTCCTCAGAGACACCGAGAGGCCACCAGAGCCATAACCCACTTGCATCCCAGTGGACACCCCAGCCAGACACAGGGAGCCTCGCACCTGCTCTCACAGACTTGCTGGCAGCGCTGTGCCCGGCCTGCTGGTAGCTCTTGGGGGGGGCAGCTTGCTGCAGGTACATGGAGTAGATGGAGCTGGAATTCACTGTCTGGGGGCCCTTGCGGGGGGACTGCGGCCTCGAGCCCTTGTCAGCCAGGAAGGGTCTGATGGCCACAGTCAGGGGGAGCTCAGGCCGACCGTCCCCAGTTGGAAAGGCAGGTGGCCCTGGCGGTGTGTGTGTGGGGCTCGGGGGTACAGAAATCCTCTGCTGAATCTGCTGTGAGGTCCCTGGCTGGTGGGGGGGTTTCTGCCGGCTCGGCAAGCCTGCAGCAGGCCTGGGCAGGCTGCCTTCTTTCCTCCTCTCTAGGGAACCCGTTGGCCCGGGGCCCAGCAGTGTAGGACTTGGGAAGGCTCCGGAAGTCGGTGGCAGCGGCTTGCCTGGACCTGGGATGGGGGGTGGCACTTTACCAACGTCAATGCCCTGAATTTGGAGAAAAAGAAAAAAGTCAGCCTTTCAAGAAGTTCAGCCCACTTACATTAGTCTTAAGAGAGCATAACTTGCTAAGTAAGGGGCAGGCCCCAGGCTGGGGTTAGAGGCCATACACAGTCACGGCCTGTCAGCAACAGAACTGGCCTTGAGCAGCAGATGCCCACAGTGTGGTGGTCCCTGCTCAAGACTCTGAAAGTACTTTGGGTGTAACATGGGGCAACAGGGGCTTTGCCCATGGCACATACATAGCTCCCATCAAGATCTGAGACAGAGCAAAGGGGCTGGCTTATGTCATGTGCCAGAGATGGGACCTACCAGTTTCTCCGCAGTGCCTAATGCTGCTAAGGGTAGAGGCTGGCTTGAGACGGTGCCCTGCCTCACAGGCCCCTCCACGCCCACGTCCTTCCAGTCCACACTGCCCACTGGTGCTGACTTCATGGAAGCGCTAGGATTTGGTTTCAGCGTTGGCCAGTTTCCATCATTAGCTTGGAAAGAACACAGAATTGAGAGGTTTTCTTGACATCTGGAACCGAGACCAGTACCAGGCTGCAGAGAAAGCTCTGAGCAGCGTTCTGGTGGCCGCAAGTCATGGTCAATGCAGAGGGACGGCCTGACTGGAGGCTCCCATCGAGTCCACCAAGCAGAATGAATACTGAAGCCAGATTTCTAGATTCCATAGCATAGTGTATGATCACAGGAGCTAAGGGTGGGTTCTCACTGATTTGAGCAGCAGGAATAATTTCATTGTGGTGATTAGAAAGCCAACCGTCAACCCCAGGATTTCCAGTTAGTGACACACAGGTTCGCACAGAGCATTTTCCAAACTGAAGAAGGCCAGCAGCATGCATTCTGAGCCACAGGTCCTCCTGATGGAATCCCCCCCCCACTCCCTTGGTGCTGAAGGGGGACAAGCAGGAGCATCGCTGTTCTAGGACTACACCGGCCCTCTCTCTCCACCGTCTCCAGCACCATGGCCAGGGACACAGGCCCTCACACAGAACTGTGCCTGGGACTACACATCATGAATGTGCTCACTGCTAAATGTCACCACAGGCCAAACTACATGCTGGCCCAGCCCCACAGGGCCCTGGGGAGGCCTCCACAGTCCCACTCCAGCTGTCCCTTGCTTGCTCCCTTGTGATCTGTCCACTCTCTGCAGGTCAGAAGGACACATGACTAGGAGCGTGCAGGCTCCCTAAGGACATAGCAAGCGGAAGCCATGAAGGGCCAGCTGGGGAGCAGCAGGAGCCAGTGTGCCCTCCTGAGGTTGCCTGCAGCTGTCCAGTGGCCTCAAGACAGTCTCTGGATACCAGACTCTGGCAGCACAGAGGAAGGGTACTAGAAAGGGACAAAGGACAATTCTCGTGAGGGAGGTTCTTGCACCAGAAATAAACCTGAAAGCTTCATAATGAGCTCATGTGAGAAATAAAATGATAATTTCTTCAAGTCTCCTCTTGTGCCAGCTCACACACCCTGTCTGGGGTGACCTGCAGAGGTGGGGACAGGAGGTGGTACATGGTGCCCCCCTTGTTCAGGCTAGATGCCATGAGCAGACCTTTCTCAGTTTGGAAGAAGGAAGGGCCTGCTGACTAACACATGTGGCAGAAGGGCAGGAGGGCCCGCTAAGGCTGCCGGCTGACGTACGGTTTACAGACAGGCCCACATCCAGATGGGACACTCTCCATGCACTGGCCACTCTGGGTTTGCTGTGACCATCTGTGTGACAAGAACCAGAGCAGCCAACAGTGAGAGGTGAGAGCCCCAACCCCACAGTTCCCCCTTGGGGGCCTAGGGTTCACCTCAGTGTTGGGGGGTCAGTCCAGGTTCCTGTGTGCGGTCGGTCACCTCACAGCACAATGTGCTTTGGAGCTCTGTGCACACCTAGTGAGGAGGGTGTGGGAGAGGCCCTGCGGGGTACTTGTCAACTCAGTTCAGCAGAGAGGAAGCTCACTTGCTGCCACTGGCGATAGTGTCCAGGAGCCCTGGTAAGGCACTGGGCTACACACTGGCTGCTAACAGCAAAGCCTGTAGTTCAAACCCAGCAGCCATGCCTCTGGAGAAAGATGGGGACTGATAGTTTCGGAAACCCAGTACAGGCTGAGTCAGAACCGACTCCACAGCATGCAGCTGCTCTTACCACAGGTGGTTCACACAAGAACCAAGGCGTTCCTTCCAGCCACCCCTCCAGGGCTCCCACCACCCTAGAGCAGTGGGGAAGAGGTCGGGTTGTGGGTGGGAGTGGGGGGTCCCTGCTCTCGACTGGTGTCACAACAGGTATATGGGTCACTGCCCAGACTCAAGGCCAGGCTAGAGAAAACGAAGCAAAAGACCACATGGAACCACCTACACCAGCCCTGAACCAGACCAGGACGAGTCTGCGTGAGACCAGGTGCGCACAAACTCTGGCCTCTGGCCAGCTCTCTGATCCTCCGGCAGGTGAGCAGACCCCCAGGGAGGACTGCGTCATCCTGGTGAGGGCAATGCAGGCGGCAGACAAGGACACTGTCGATACACAAGTGGTCACAGCCCACAGTTCTGTGGTGTCAGATGTGCTGGGGAGGGGGCAGGACTGCAGCACCCCCAGACACACTGAGGCACTGTGTTGAAGAGCGCCGCCACGGAACAGGATGTCCCAAGTGGTTCTGACACCTTGAGAGAAGACTTGGGTGTCTGCTGCCTGGCTGGGGGTCTGTGGTCACACCTATGCCCTCCCACTCCCGCAGTGGACGGCCAGCACCCCTCACCAGATCTGGATCGTCCATGTGTGGCGCTGGGGGCCAGGCTCAGGGACTGTGGCTTGACGGGGTCCCCCGGGACTGGAAAGCTCCCAGCATTGGGCACCTGGATGTAAGGCCCAACAGCAGCGACTCGGCCTGACGCGCTCAGGGAGGCCTGTGGTGACGACGTGCCGTTCACGCGGCTCAGCTGAAATCGGAGAGGGAGAGTCGGCACCGTCCCTTTCCAGGAGGGCCATACACATGCACGCTGTGAAGCGCTCCACAATAAACACCCCATAAATCAGCACCCAGAACGGCTGAGAGCTTCAAGGTGGGACGTCACCAACAGCCCCCACCGTGAGGACAGCTGTCCCCTCTAACAGCCGCCCATCTGCGGCAGAACGGAGGAGCTCGGTACCAGGAGCCTTTTCCTGTGGCTGCAGCTCCGGCTCCACAGGTGGGGTGGGGCCAACACTGGACACTTGTCACCTCTGGGGACGAAAGCAGGGTGGCAAGCATGGCCATGCTTTCCCTCAAAGACAGTAGTTACTGCCTTTGAAATTCAGGACCCCACTAAAGGTCGTTTTTACAAATGACCGTGAAGTCCTGCTGTGTCACTGTAGGATAAATAAGGACCAGTAAGGAGCTCTGGTAACGTAGTGGTTACGAATCGGAAGGTCGGCAGTTCGAAACTAACAGCTGTTCCATGGAAGATGAGGCTTTCTGCTCCCGTAAAGATTTACAGCCTCGGAAACCCTGTACAGGGTCGCTATGGGTCAGAACCGACTCGACGGCACACAACAACAACAACAGATGGAGCTGCAAGGTTGGCAGTTCAAACCCACCAGCCACTCCTCAGAAGCTATACAGGATCATCTGATATGAGTTGGCATATTTAACAACAACCCTGTGGACACCCTTAGCTTGGGTGCTTCTACTCACCACCACCCGGGTTACTGCTAAAATTCTGCCCCTGATTACCAAGCACGTGACAACTGAGCTTGGGGGCCAGGGACAAATGACTCAGGCATGGGGAGAGGCTGAGTGGACTTTGCTTCTGAAGGCTGTGGGGTAGGGGAGACGTGCAAGGCCTAGGTGGACCATCTCACCGAAATTGGCTCTTGGTCACGTGCCTGAATTTTTTTCCCATAGAGACGCTGGCGCAGCTCGCTGATCCGCTTGTCCATCATGGCCACCTCCATGCTCCGCTTGGTCAGGAGCTCCTTCTGCTGCTGCAGCTTTGAATTCTGTTCCTGGTTCAGCTGGTTCCGAATCTGCAAACACAGAGCGCAATGCTTACAATCTGCATTCATCCAGGGAGATTCAAAAAGCAGATGTGGCGCCAGTCTCTGCGTCATGTCCATGTGGTGCCCAGTACCTTGTGGGGAAAATGGCCCAAAGTGTGTGTTGCCTTTAAGCAAACAAAATGATGAACACAAAGAGTAAAGATGTGTAAGTTCAACTATTGGCCTTGGTGATGGTATGGTAGGGACACTTGTCTTGGTACAGGGCCCTCTCTCTGGGCACCAAGCTCTGCCTCCGACAGGGCAGCATCACACTGCACCCACGGAGTAGGGTACCTCCTGAGGGGACTTCAGGACCAAATAGAGCACACCACTGTGATGATGCCTAACCCTATACTTTATACATCTACGAATTTCTGGAAAACAATGGGACAGCCAACAGTTGATGCTACCAACAGTGCAATTCCAGAACTTAGCTCAGACTCTGCATGACCCCTTTGAGTAATGGCGTTGTTAATGGGAAGCTTGGGACTTAACAAGAGCTGCACCTGACCAAGGCCTTAAATATACAAATCTCATTCTACAGCCAAGTAAACACTTTTGTACTGAAAACCTTACAAGTCAGTCACAAAGATCCACCTTCTGTATGATTCCATGGATATGAAATCGCAGTACAGGCAGATCCAGAAAGCAGGTTAGGTTGCCTTGGGCTGGGGGATGGAATGCCTGGGGGTGGCAGTTATGGGGAGTGGGTTTTTTTCTGGGGGTGATGAAATGATCTGAAACTGAATGGGTGACAGATGTCTAACTCAGAGATGTCCTAAAATCCACTGAATGGGAGATAAATAATCTCTCAATAAGCTGTTAAGAATGATTATTTTGGGTTGAATACATCTTGTGGCTTCTATGAAACTGGAACTCGTTAACTGGCTTCCTGACTGTGCCCAGGGTGCAGGGACTACCTGTAGCTCCTGGTAGAGTCTTTTCAACTCCCCGGCGGCGGCCGGCCCCGTCAATCTGCCGTTGTACGACTGGAACCCGTTGAGCTTCCCTTTCTTTAGATCTTCCAGCTGCTGACTTAACTGATCAACTCTGAGGATAGCTGTTTGTACCTCCTGCTTCTTCTCCTGGAACATGGCACTAAACCTTTCTATTTCAGCAGCTGTAATCCCCAGCCAGAAACAAAATCACACACACAAATTGTTATTTCAACAATGGTATCAAGACCATGGCATGACCTTTGGGGTGGGGGGCAAGTGCGTGCATCTTTAGTGGACCCTCTACCTGCACGAGTACCATGGACTCTAACTTCACCCAGCGTCAAACCCTGCATAGAAAGTTGTAGTGTGCATATTCCAAATACTTCATGCAGCAACAACTACGTTTGTGTTGGCTGCTGAGTGCCTTTCCGTGAGGGCAGTCAGGCTAAGCCAGGCATCTTAATGCATCAAAAGGTCCACCACACCTGAGAGCGGGACCCCAGGAATAAGTAGGCACTAACTCTGGTAGCGTAGTGGTTACGAATCGGGCTGCGAACCTTAAGGTCAGCGGTTCGAAACTACCAGCCGCTCCGCGGGAGAAAGATGAGGCTTTCTACTCCCGTAAGGATTTACACCCTCGGAAACCCTGTACAGGGTCGCTATGGGTCGGAACCGACTCGACGGCACTTAACAACAACAACAACAACTTAAATGGGGAGTGAAACCAACAGTCCACCAGAAGAAAGCCAGCACATTAATACACACAGAAAAGGGGAGCCGCGTCATGCCCAAGGACCACTCATCTGGCCAAGCCTGTCCTCCTAGCTGCAGAGAGCAGAGGCCAAGGCCATCTGCGTGGTGGTCAGGGAGTGGCTCTACACAGCTGTGGGCGGGTGGGCACGTACACAGGTTGCCATTCACGACTTTGCTGTAGTCCACCTGCCCTCTCATGGCACGGATTTTCCTCAGTTTACTCTCCTGGGCTTCCACGCGTTCTTTCAATTTCTGAAGTTTTTCATTTTCAGACACAGACTGCTGCTGACGGCGCTCCTGTTGTTTCAGAAAATGTAAACGCTGTTCCTGGTAAGAGGGAAAAAGCCTCATTTGACAATGGACGTGTACAGTTGCTTCTGGCACCAGATACATCTGGGTGGACCCTGTCTGTCCTAGGCTAATGGTATAGAAGTTAGGGGCCAGAGGAGTTCTGCACACCTGGAACCCCACTGAAGGGACCCAGTGCAGCAGCGTGGGGGGGCGGGTTTGGGTTTTTTCAGATGGATTTTACTAAGCACCCCGATGTGCAGAGAGAGCATGGCTGAGCTCCAGCTGGCCTCTCTTCCTGCTGCTAGCTAGTGCCAGGCTTCCTGAGTCCCTTAGCTCACTTCCTGCAGGAAACAACCCTGGCCAGCTCAGGCTTTCATAGGAAGGAGATAAGGCATTCCGTGGGGACAAAACTCCCAATGGGCTAAATGACACTCAAGAACCAATGTGGCTGCTTGCTTCAGTGTTAACTTCTTCAGAAACGAGCGAAACACTTGAGAGTAAAACAACAATAGGAGACTCCTAAAATAAAAACAGGTGCAATACCCTTCGATAGTTTTTCTTTTCTATTCAAGTGAAAACCTACTTTGAGGATAGCAGTTGTTGTTTAGTGCTGTTGAGTTGGTTCCAACCCACAGAGATCCTGCATAGGATTTTCAAGGACTGGCTGGTGAGCTTGAACCACTGACCTTGCGGTTCAAACTAACTTTGCAGTCCAACACATTAGCCCAGGGCGCTATCCAAACAAGGATAACAGTAAATATGAGATATTCATGGTCCCATGGTGGTGGTGGTGGTTATGTGCTGTGGAGTTGGTTCTGACTCATAGTGACCCTGTTATAAGGTTTCCAAGTCTGTAAATCTTTATGGGAGCAGAAAGCCTCATCTTTCTCCTGTGGAACAGCTGGTAGTTTCGAACTGCTGACCTTAAGGTTTGCAGACCGATTCCTAACCACTACATTACCAGAGTCCCATATATATGTATAAAATGTACCTAGAGGTTCAGGTGTGATTATGCAGCCATTTACAAATTACATTACAAAATACCTGATTACATATATTTTAAAAAGTAACAAAATTGGAGTCCTGTGGGCTAATGTGTTGGACCGCAAGGTCAGTTTAAACAACAAGGTCAGTGACTCAAAGTCACCAGCCACTCCTCGGAAAACCTATACAGGGTTGCTACAAGTTGGAACCAACTTGAAGGCACTTAACAGCAAAATGTAAAAATTAGCATTGACTTATGATTTAACATTATTAAACATACCTAAAATTATTTTTAATACAGTACTCTTAGATTAAAATTTGGACAGAAAATAAGTATATTAGAAAGTTTCTCAAGACTTTAAAACGATCTACACATGAAAGGTGGACAATGAATAAGGAAGACCGGAGAAGAATCGATGCTTTTAAACTATGGTGTTGGAGACAAATACTGAAAGTACCACAGACTGTCAAAAGATCAAATAAATTTGTCAGAGTAAGTGCAGCTAAAATGTTCCTTAGAAGTCAGATGGCAAGACTTTGTCTCTCATACTTCAGATATACGATCAGGAGGGACCTGTCCCTGGAGAAGGACATCATGCTAGGTAAAGTGGAGGGTCAGAGACAAAGAGGGAGATGGACTGCCACAGCAGCAGCAGTCATGGGCTAAAGAGAACAGCCTGGGAGGATGGTGCAGGATAGGGCCGTCTTTCAGGCTGTTGTGCAGAGGATCGCTGAGTCAGAACTGACGAGACGACCCCCTAACAACATCTTCTATACTTCACCTTAGAAACCTTAGCAGTGGGATAAAATATGTTCCAACTTAACTTTTCATTGTTTCGTCTTGCAAGACCACTTTTTCAAACTAGTCTCCACTTAACATGAGTGGAGAGCAGTGAGCTCAGTCACGGAGTAAGTGAGGAAGTGCCGGCATTGGGTTACGTGGACGGCTCTCTGAAGAAGATACAATAAGCCTACCAAGGATGACTGAACCACGGGGTAGAGGAAACTCAGGCCCCCCTGTTCTGGGGCTGCAGCGGCAGGTGCAGAGCCTGATGGAGATGAGGAGCACCACGTGGCCCAGAAAGGCAATCAACCAAAGGAGCTCCTAGTAGGACTGTGAGATGTGGCCCACCAGCTAGCCGTCTGTAGCGTCTCACTGTGGAGGCTGGGGTCCCCTGGAGTGCACCCCCCCACCCCCAACACCACCCCCCAGGGCATCTTAGAGAACAAAGAAGAGCTTCCTGTCTTTCCAGACTGTCTCCATCATTTGCATTAGGGCAACTGAGCTTCTGGGCTCTGTGTGTGTGTGTTGAGGGTCTGATGCTCTTCCCAACTTCAAGAAGCTGAAAGTTTCACTTATTATTACAGAAGTGAGGCTAAAACATGAAAGCTGGTGTTGAACCCTTTCCCACCTCTGGTTCTGTCACTTACCTTGGCAACCAACATTTGTTGCTGGTTTTCAATTTGCTGCTGTTGCCTAGCTGCCATATCTTGGAGCTCTGAGAGTGTAAGTTCAACACGTGGGTTCCCAACCTACAGAGAAGGAAACACACTGACACTGGGGCACGTGCTTCTTGGTGTTGGAACACAACAGCAGTATTTGCACCAGTTCCCTGGATGTTAGAAGAATATAAATTAGCTTTCTCATCAGAACTTTTCCTAGTTGACAACTGCTTCTATCAGACAGATATTTAGGAGGGTAATGTGGCACTACAGGATAAGCACTGGACTGCCAATTTCAAGATCAATGGTTCAAACCCACCAAAGGCTCCTCAAAAACCTGAAACTGACTGAACAGCACACAACCACACCAAGTCAAAAAGTACTGCTACAGAGAACAAACACGATGGTGGAGAGGGTGGAAGTACAGTGAGGAGCTCCGTCAGCAACTACACAGAATATGGGACCAAACAGGCTCAGGGACGGTCCCAGAACTCTGAATCACGTATTAAGGAATATTTAGAAGGTTGGAAGGCTTACAGCTGGGGGAATTTGTAGCAGAAGCAAGAAATCCATTGTTCCTAATTCAAGATGCTCAGCAGCTCCCAGAGCCACCATCTTGGGTAAGACCAAACAGGGGAAGGATCAGAGCAGCCATGGATGCCTCACAGAACTGCAGAGATAAAGGTGTGGACATTCTTTTTTTTGTATCTGTTTACTGGTCTCTTGCTGTCTGCCTACCTCCATTCTGGTGCCTAGAGGGGGTGTATGAGCGAGTGGACACTCCCCCTCACCCCCGGAGCATTCTACTATGCATGCGCACAGACCTCCTCAAAGTTTAAAGAGATAGTTTCCACTTAAAACCAAATGGCCACAACCAGCCCTGAACTGTTTACAACTAGAAAAAAGGCCTGAACAGGGACTATGGAGTGGGACAGACAAAAAAGGAAGTATGCCAAAAATTAAATCCTAAGTTATGTCAAAACAACCAACAGTGGCATCTTGAAATTTCTCTGAAAGAAGAGTGAAAAGGGAAGCCCATCTCCTGATCACATCTACCTGGAGGCAATCAGAAAGCATAAAAAAATACCAAAATACACACCCATCTAACTATTAAGGCCACAGATAACTCCTGAATATGCCCAAAAAACAGAAGCAGATTGACCATAGCAGCACATGTCCAGAAACGAGATAAAGTGACTGAGGCAAATAAGCTGGAAGTAGACCTACACTCCATATTGGAAGATGGGCAGGCTTTGGGAATGCCTGAGAAGGAATTCCTAAAAATGATTATAAAAGGTATCAAAACACTATACAATGCAGTTGAGAAAAATAAAGAAGAAGTCAGGAAAGTGCTATAGGAACAATCAAGTAAGATAGATAGAGCATTGGAAACAATTCAAAACCTACAGAAAGAGGTCCAAACGATTAATAATAGAACTATCAGAAATGGACAATACATTGAAAGGGCAAAGGAATAGAATTGAAGAGACAGAAGCTAGAACTAGTGAGCTAGAAGATAAATCTCTCAACACTACTAAGATAGAAGAACAAACACAAAAAAGGATAAAAAAAATCTGAAGAAGGCCTAAGATTCATGTTGGATAACATGAAGAGGAATAACATAAGCATTACTGGCATTCCAGAACAGGAACAATCACACAAGCCCACAGAAGAGATAGTTGAAGAGCTTCTGGAAGAAAATTTTCCTAACATCATGAAAGTGAAAAGGTAAGCTTCGAACCTCAGGATGGATAGACCCTAAAAGACAATCACCAAGACATATAATAATCAAGCTCTCCAAAATCAAAGATAAGGACAGAATCCTGAAAGCAGCTAGGGAAAAGAGAAGTGTAACATACAAAGGCCAGTAAATCAGATTAAGCTCGGATCTCTCAACAGAAACCATGCAGGTAAGAAGACAATGGGGAGACATATATAAAACCCTGAAAGAAAAAAAAAAAATGCCAAAGGGAAAAAAAAAATGCCACCCAAGAATCTTCTATCTAGTAAAACTGTCAATCAAATATGATGGTGTAATCAAAACATTCCAGGACAAACAGAAACTAAGGGATTTTGCCAAAGCCAACCCTGCTATTAAAAACATCCTAAAGGATGTTCTGTGGACTGAGAACCCACAAGAACAGACAACAACTAGAGAATGATGTACATGGCAGCATCACCCTGAACTCAATCAACAAACAAAGAGTCAAGAACAGAATAAAATGATAAGAACAGAGGATCTGGGAGGTCAGTCTATGATCAAAACAATTACAATGCGAAAGAAGGTAAACACAGAGGAACAGAGATACAGGTGGTGGGAAGGTCAGGTAGATTATAGGATAAAATAGACTGTCTTAAATGGAGGGAAGAATTAATGGAATATAAGGTAACCACAATGAGGGTTGGGGTGGGAGGTTTAGTTTGGGTGTTGGGGAGGGCAATACAAGAAGGGGGGAGGAGGCGGAAGGACAAGATAGATAGAGGAACACTGAGACAAGTTTGCATGTCCTAAGTGGGACAGAGGTAAATAGTGATGTATGCTCAACCTTGGAACAACAGGGCTCTGGGATACAGGGATCTAGGTATAGCCTGAAGAGGGGAAATAATACTAAAATATTTGACTGTCTTATAAATATTAGTTTCCCTTGTCTACTATTGTAAAATAGACACTTGAGTGGTATAAAAAGGAATGTTGGAAAACATGATTAGAGAAAACTTGTAAGCCCGCCTTCAGCCTATTAACTGATTGGGAATACCTGAAAGGGGTTCTACAACTTGTCTAGTGAAATAGGCCTCGTGCAAAGCCTTTACAGAGTATAGGACCTTAGGTGGAATCCTGAGTCCCATCCAGAACCTTATCAGGTGGAACATTCCCACTAGAAAGGACAAACAGACTAGCCTTGAACAGCTACAATAATAGGAGATATATCTTCAAAGAAAGATCACCAGGAAAAACCCAAAACAAAAATATCAGTATGACTGGCAAGCTGTTCACCAGGAAGCCATCAAGGCAAGCAGTCAAGTTCCTTCAGGACAAACTTCCCTCTGAGACGGAAACGCAAAGGGAACACATGAGCAGGCATGTAAGCTTGCTGGTGACCATGTTGGTCTACTGGTGAGTGGAAGAGGGGGAAAGGCAGCAATGAAGAAATGGGCTGAGTTCAACCACAGTCCATTGACTCCCGTTGACCTGGAGATGAGAGAGAGAAGTGGTAAGGACTGGTTGGTCTAAGGTGTGGTGAGACTTGGAGACACAAGCCCATGGACAAGGACTTAGCCACAGAGGGCTAGAGCTGAGAGTAAAGCATCCAGCTGATACGAAGTGAGGGGAGATGCACAAGAACACCCAAACTTGCAGACAGTATCCTTTTGACCTAGCCTCGATGGCTTGATAATCAGAACTCGACTAGAGGAAGTTTACCAAAAAAAAAAATTTTTTTTTGATAAAGGAAACAAGGGTAAATTGCTAAAATTTAATGAACCTGACCTATACTCAGAGAGGTAGTTACTCTAAATACTAACAGAGAGGGACGGCGTCTTCACATTAAGTATCAATGCTATCCCCTCTGTGCACAGGGTAGATAGGGACGGGCAACTTTATTGGCTACCTAAAATAAAGGCACGAAGTGACTGGCTTACAAGGTTTCAAGAAGGAGTTTAGTCTAAGCGTATGGGGGGAAAGAAAGAGTCCCCACTAAATAGATTTCATCTTGTCTAGATGGGTCTGGTGAAAAATGATGGGGATAAGATTTGTATGATTCAATAGTGAATAATTGTTATCATGACTAATTGCGACTGTCACAATTGTAAAGGTAGAAGTTTTGTAACAAAAACAGGGGAGTGGTTAATCTTACAGTCCAGAAACAGAGAGGACCCTAGGACTATCAAGGGAGAAGCGCACAAGCAGAATGTGGGACCTTATTCAGAGAAGCAGTGACGCGCCAGACATGGAGGCAGAGATGGGGGCATGGAGAGGGGGAGTGGCTGAGGACTCCAGATTCATGGGAAGATAGGGACTAAGAGTTGGTGGCCAGGAGGCAGACTTGCAGAATGTGCCCTTTGGAGATGTAAATTATTATATATGCCTGAGTGGGTTTTTTGTTTTTTTTTTTTAAAGTTAAAGTGGATAGAGAAGACTGATGGTACATGGAGGGGATTATAATCAATGTAACAAAACAAGGTGTATGATTTGTTGAATGTAAAACTGATGATATGCCCTATAAACTTTCACTCAATACACAATAAAAACCTTAAAAAAAAAAAAGTACCGCTACCAAATCATAGCAACTCTTACTAAAGAGAAAAATATCAAAGAATGTGAAGCTACTGTTTCTCAGCATATCTTCCATCTGGGTCTACATACCTCCGAAAGTTGTGTTTCTATCTCTCTATGCAGTTTCTGATGGAACTGTAGGTTTAATTTGCTGGACTGCAAAGTCAGTTTGAACCACAAGGTTGGTATTTCAAGCTCACCAGCTGCTCCTCGGAAACTCTATTCAGGATTGCTATGGGTCAGAACTGACTAACTTAATGGCACAATAACATGGACTCTCTGATTTACACCACATTAAAATGGCTATTCTGATATTCTCAAGGAACTCAAATCATGTTCTCTTTTCATGGTCTTGGAGTCTGGGGTATAGAAAGAAGTCTGAAGGGTGAGTAGAGTAAGGTTTCCCAAGGAAATGCTCTTAGGACAGCGCATGCTCCTCTAGAAGAGTGAGCAGGTGCACCGTTGTGATGGAAGACAACTCCTGGGCATGACTTTGCTCACCAATGTCATTTCTCATCAGTGTAGTTTTGAATTTTCTAAACCCTTCTTCCCAGTAAGCCCTTTGGATCACGACCTCTCTGCCTTGAATGTAACTGGTCCAGCAGAGCCCCTTAGACACTCTTTTGACTTGACACCTAATGAGTGTCAAGCACCTAATGAGTCGGTACCGACTTCAATGGCACCTAACAACAACAGCGACACTTAGTGTATTTGTTATGAATTGGGCTGCTAACCTCACGGTCGGCAGTTCGAAACTACCAGCTGTTCCATGGGAGAAAGATGAGGCTTTCTGCTCCTGTAAAGATTTACAGCCTCA